AAACGATCCAAACCAAATTGACTTCATTTATGCGTCCGTACCCTAGCCGTCTGCCCGGGTCACTTTTGCCGCGAAACAACCTCGCTTTGCGAAATGAAGGTGCAGATAATCCACGTCCGGGTTGCTGAAAAAATTGGATATCAGCCCGGCAACCTCGCTTCCGTCAATGACATCGGCATCGATGATTTCATGCGCCGCGTTGAACGCGCGAACCGACAGCAGCCGGCTGGAAATTGATGCGGGCACAACATCAGGCGCCGGATGGTTCTCCAGTGCGCCGTCCCCGACATAGATCGCATGACGAGACTGATAGGGTGACTTGCCCGGTTGATGCTCGAAGTTCAAAAGGAAAACGCGTTGACCTTCGGCAAGGTCGGTCAGCGAGACCCGGCAAGGCGCAGCGCCGTTGGAAACGTGAACCTGAACGTTCTGCCGAGCGAGGTCTTCATCACAGAGCCCGTAGAGATGGGAGAACGCGTTTTCGGGAAGGGGATTGATCTGAAACATGGAAAGTCTCCTCAGTGGATCTGAGGCGACCTTAAGCGGCGCTCGAACGCACGGCGACCCGATTTGCGAGCCCTATTGCGCGGCGGTTTGCTGCCGGTGCCAGCCGACAAGCAGGATCATGCCCATGATCACGAGATAGGGCAGATGAAAGCGCGTTTCATAATGCGGGAAAACGACGTATTTGGCGCAGATCGAGGTGAAGGCCGCATAGAGCAGTACCCTTGATCTGAGATCCAGACGGTCGGCAGAAATGCACTTTGCAAAAAAGACGACCAGCCCGAACAGGACAGCAATCCAGGTAAAGCCCATGACTGCCCTGACCGTCGATCGGACGAGCATCTCGACATAGGCTGTGATGGAAAAGGGCGGATCGAAATCCTTCAGCGTCGGTACGTATTCGATATGCGTGAACCACATATGCACCCACCAGCCGGGGTGATCCGCACCGCGCGTCAGCCAGACATAGATCCCGAGACACGCTGCAAAGCAGGCCGACATTGCCCAACGTCCAGGCCCGTAGACAGCCGCGAACACGAAGAACACGCCGACAAAGGCAAGGTGATCCGGTCTCACCAGAAAAGCGCAGACAAGCGCGAGCGTGGCGGGCACATCCCATTTTTCCAGAAAGAAGAAAGCTGACAGCAACAGGAAGAAGGTGGCGTAAAGGTCCGGCGAAACGAGCTGTGCCGCATAGCCGAAACTGCAAAGCATGAGAAACGCAGCTGCGACGGGCCCGTAGCTCAGTGTCCCTGTCCTGCCGAGCCAGGCAAGGAGAACGCCACCAACGGCAAATACGGACAGGAGTGATATCAGCCGGAATGCCTCGACGGTGCCGGCAATACCCGACAGCAGGCGCGCGGTTTCGACATAAAGCACCTTGAGACGGTAGAAGCCGAGCATCGTCTGGAAGGCGTCCGCATCCTTCGCCTGATGGATGCGGTAGGGCCGGTCTTCCGTCAGCGTGACATATTCGCCTTCGCTGACATTTGCTTTCACGAGTGCATAGGTCTTTGCATGCAGGTCGGCCGCATCGGCGGTCTCAGGCTCGATCGCAGTGGCCGTATAGGCCAGCATGTCCCAGTTCGAAACCGGAAACACCTGCACCACTGCTGCCGTCATCAGGACAAACAGGCACAGCACCGCCGCACCGATCCAGCTTCGCAAGGGCGTGTAGATGCGGCTTGCGATGCCGAAAACGGCCAAGAAAACTCCTTCCAGACTGCGTTGTGCAATGTTGGACATGAATCGAGCCTCGCGTGCGGTACCGTCTCCTTTGTCGCAAGGTCTCGTAAGAATTACGTAAACGGGCTGATTTATGAGGGACTGATCAAGCGGCCGCGCCGGGCCATGCCGAGCGAGGAGGGTGCGGTTTCGCGGAAACCGAACTTTTCATAGAGCCGGTTTGCCGGCACATCCGCGATCAGGCTTACATAGATCGATGGGGGCAACTCCGTCTCGATATGCTTGACCAGCGCCGCCATGATTTGCTGTCCGTGCCCCCGCCCCTGATAATCCGGATGGACGACGATGTCGGTCACCTGAACGAACAGGCCGCCGTCTCCGACAAGCCGTCCCATGCCGACGGCTGTCTCGCCGTCCAGCAGCAACACACAATGGAGACTGTTTTTCAGGCCGAGCCCGGCAGCCTCAAGATCGTAGGGACTGAGCCCGCCGGCCGCCCGCAGGCTCAGATAGGTTTCCGGGTCCGGGGTCTTCGTGATCACGCTGATTGTCATGTCGGTTCCAGGTTCCTTCAATCCTTTGTCCTGCTGCTTTTCAAGGTGTCTTCATCTCTAGTCGGTCGCGAATTTGTTCGCCAGTTGGACCTTATTCATCCAGCGGCCAGCTTGACCGGGCACCGTTGCTCGTGTCTCCATCCGGAAAACGGATATTGGAGGAATGATGCACGACCTCGGGGCATGGGATTACGTAATTGTCGGCGCAGGCACTGCAGGCTGTGTTCTTGCCAACCGCCTGTCGGAAGACCCTGACGTCAAGGTGTTGCTGCTGGAAGCGGGCAAGAGTGACAACTACATCTGGGTCCATATTCCCGTCGGTTACCTTTACTGCATCGGCAATCCGCGCGTTGACTGGGGCTTCAAGACCGCTCCTGAAACGGGCCTGAACGGCCGGTCGCTGCTCTATCCGCGCGGCAAGGTGCTGGGCGGCT